CACACGCTATAAATCACAGTGATTCACACACTTTACTTGCAGTGCCTACTGTTCGCTTGACTCAATTATCTATCTTTTCAATCCCGCTGGGTATTTTCGCCAGGCTTATATACTAAAAAAGAGGGCGTCTCGAATGCACTCGGGCCTTCATGATCATTCGATAAATTTCAGCGTGCATGCTTCCAATTTACTTGACTTCCACTGTCGTAACAATACATTTTCAGGTCATTATTTTCTTTTTAAAACCTTAAAATTTGGAGTGGATTGTACAGAAATTTATGTCTGTTTTGGTAATCGTAATACCTGGCATATGATAAAAAAAAACACTAAAACTGCCTCTGAACAATAATTTAGTATTAGAGCTTTTGAACAATCCAAACTTTGTGCTCTGCCTCATCAGTTCAGGTCTTGCAGAGAAGTCTTCATTTGAAAGTGAGTTCTCCCCCTTCTTATGTCAAGATTTTGGTGAAAAGTCATTGCCTTTTGCAAAATAATTCACATTGAAAATACCTATTTTTGGTTCTTCAGTAGTTAATGTTCAGTGGGAAAATGTCCAAAAGTCAACATTATCCTAGTCTCAGTTGCAAGTGCAAGGTTTGCATGAAATGTAAACATTGTGGATGCAGTCATGGTGTCATTCCTGTTGATAAATGTCCAAAAAAGGTTAGAACGCAGTTGAGAGAGGACAATAAAACAGTGAAGCTGAAGGAATAGTAAGAGATAGATATGTTGTTATTTTCATTATAATCACTTTTGTTGTCTTAGATCTTCAGTGATTGACAGATGGAGGTATGATTGATCAGGCCTCAACCAATGAAAGTCATAAGAAACAGTTGAAAACATTTATTATTGTTTCTAGTCCTAGATGTCATGAAAATGTTGAAAACCATCATTACTTACACTGTAAATCAAGATCAAAATAGAATAAACCTGAGTAAAAGTAGCTTTGCTTTGGGAAGACTTTTCATCAATACCAAAGAAACATCTTAGGAGTTTCAATTAGTTGACCCGTAAACTTATGCAAAGTTTTACATGAGAAATAGTCTAGCAAGTTTTTTTCTTATTAAAATGTTGCCACCAATACATGACATTTTCTGTATGATCGGCTCACAGTTTTTTGTTAAAAAAGTCTGTTTCAACATTAATACAGTGTTGTTATAACCAGTGAAGAGCTATATAGAAATAATGGCTTTGATGTTTGTTACATATTATTGATCAAACGTATATATTTTTTTTAGAGTCTGGGTTTATGGAGTTTTGGCACATCAGTGTTTCATATACTTGTTCTCATTGTTAACTTAAAGGTAAGTTATGTTTTAAAATGAAATAAAATATTATAGTTTAATACTCTTTGTTTTGTCCTAATACTGTAATGTTAAAATTTAAATTTAATAACAACTTTTCAAGTCCTGTGCTGTTGTGTTCACTTTCTCTGTACTGAATAATTTAAACAAACTATTATTCTGTTTTGCCTTTTTTTTATGATGGTAAGTTGCTTATATTATTAAATATATAGTTAACATTTAACATGCAATTTGTAGAGAAGAAACAGAAAAAAAAAAGATTATAACATCAAGTCTTAGGACTAATGTTGAACCATTTTAATTGTGAAACTATATAATAGCTTAGTAATATGTTTTAAAATACTAAAGTTTCCATTCTTTTATTAGATGGACGTACTTGGAATGACAGTTTTGTAAAATCATTCACATTTCTTACTTCCTAAGAAAATAGTTTTTTACACAAAGTAATGTATTTTTATACACAAAATAAGGTTGTTTTTTCATCTGAGAAACAGTTCAGTTGACTCACTTATTAACAGAACTGACATGTTGTCTAGTTGGATCAAACTTTAAAAGTTTTTGAAAAAACATTAACCTTTGTTGATTAATATGTGTTAGATATATACAGTAGCCAGTGCAACTGTAATGAGTTATTTTTTAAAACTTTCTGAATCATTTGTTATCTGCTAGTTGTGGGATCAAAGCCTGAAACCAAACATACTTGCTTTTCAGGCCATGATGCTGTTAAAATGTGACAGTGAATCTTACTATTTGTAAAGTTTGGCTCAAGATTTGGGTGTGGGTGCCACTGACTGATTTACTTCCCTCTGATGGAAGGTAGCCTTAATTATTTAGTTCCACGAAGTAAAGTACTGGTTAAAGTGACATCTTTTCCATGTGATGGTTTTTTGCAACTAAATTTTCACACTTCTTTACACTAGAATATGTGCATGTGAACTAGTGCAAAAGTAAAAAAAAATGTACTTTTTTATGTATAAAACAACAGCAAGGTTTTTTAAAGTAATTTTTGGGTAATTTGTACCTGAGTGTTCTAAAATTTGAAAGTACTGTTGCTTTTCATACAAGTTTGGATACATTTCCTGCAATGCATTTGACTTGCAGTAGCAATGCAGCTGTCATGCATAAAAGTCAATCATCATTATTTTCTAATTTTTAAGCATTCTCCTTATTATTTCAATAAAATGTTGAATTGATTACTGAAAAATTTATAACAATATTAAAAATTACCTGCATGATTTCTTTTTGTACCTAGTTGTGCTTACATACAAGATATTGGACAAAACTGTTTCTGTTTTCATTACTGGCTACCATCCTTGGCTTCATGGGATTTAATTTCCTTTACAGTGGAGTTATGTGGTAAGTTTATTTTAGAGCTACAAGACAAAATTATATCAGAACAACTTTGAAATTAGTATAACATACTTTTCTTTTTGCTCTGTTGACTTTTGCTTTAAACCCTAGAACAAACTCATTCACTTAGAATACTTCTCAAAAGATGAATATTTCTATTATGTTTCTTTTGTCGTTGATGTTAAATATAGAACTAAATCATAAAGTATTTGTGAAAATTATAAGAGTGTGATTATTATAAATAATTGTTTCACAAACTTACTTCAAAGCTTTTTTTGGCCATCTTATGAATTTCTATTTTTAATACCCTCTTTTCCAGATGTTTCTTTGAAGAAAATTATAATTAACGTAAAACTGAATATGTTCATATATGAAAAACAGTACATATTTTACTTTGTGGTGAGTTGTGCATGGCCTGGTGGTTAACATGCCAGACTGTGGATCCTAGAGTCCATGGTTTATATCATGATGTTTAAAAATCTTGCTTTGCACTTTGGAGCAGTGGATGTGTTATAAGAGTGATAGTCAGATCTTCCCTATTTGAACAGAGTAACTCAAAGTTTGTTGGTGGATGCTGTTACTGGATGGCTTGTGCAGATAGCACATGTGTAGCTTTATGTCAAAATATGAAATGAAGAAAATTGTTTGTGGTTACATGTTGAATACAAACTGAGCATTTTTTCAGAAATACTTAATGTTATATGATCTGTTTCTTGAGAGAAACACTGATGTTGTAAAAGTTACACATTTTTTTATTCATATCTCAAAAGCTATAATCAAGATAGAATGATATACCTAAACCATTTAGTACTTTTCCTGTAAACATTGTGTCATGTTCTTTTCAATTTTTATTTGTATTAGATGTTTTTGAAGGATGCATGTTATAATTCTTATTTACTGTTTTAATAGTCTATTTGAATGTAATAAATTTCATTTATTATTGTTTATTTTAAAGTAATATTTTTGCAATTCTCCAGGCACAGTAACACCATGTTTTGGGTGTACATGAAACTCCTGTCGTCACCATCCTTCTGGTTGTTGAGCATTATCCTTATTGTGACTGCACTGTTACCTGATATTTTGATTTTACTTATGAATGAATACAGTTTCAGTCATAGGAATATGTTCGACAGAAGTAAAGTAAGTTAATTAATATATACTTTATTTCACTGTTGTTTAAATGTGTTCACGGATATGTATGCAAAAAATTTTACGTCTATAAAATATATGCTTCATCTGGACCAAATCTTGCATTACAAAAGTTTTAATTTGAATAATATCTTTTTAATAATTTAAAAACAGCATACTTACATATAGTTTTAGATCAGATTCTTTTGTTCCTTGCTCATTTTTATCTGTCTTTGTTTTGCATTTTTAACTTTCTAGCTTTTTTGTATTGCTAAAGATTATTATTAGTAGATCCATGAATTATGCTACCAGACCTCTAATACTCTGCAATAGCCTCATAAACAATACCACCACCATCCTACTTTCTTTGTTGCATTATGTTATCAGGTTAGGATATATTTATGCATTTTATAAGCTAACAAGGACTGCAAGTGCTATACTAACTTTTCTATCCTTTACTCAAACTTCAGTGAGTAGTCCTTGATTATGCATCATTCATCACAAACTATTACTATAAAGCACACGCACACACATGTATATATATATATATATATATATATATATTATTTTTTGTTTCTTATTAAGGTATCTATGGGCTGGGTAACTCCAAAATTGTTTGCAGTTTACTCTGTTTTTCGTATGTTTGTCAGTTTTAAGCCTTTCCCTCAACTTTGCTGTATTGATTTCCCCTGTAATGTATGCTGAATTCTTCTTAGAACATTCTTTGGTTCTGTCAGTTTTTTCACTATTTTAGAGGATGAGAAACATTTTCATGTTTTCCTTTTGATGTATCACATGGTTTATTTCCTGTGGCCTGATTCAACTGGTTATGAAATTTCTCAGCTCAGGTTATGTTCTTGAGGCCTATACATTTTCCTTCAGGAACATTTGTTCAGTTCTCTTTCTTGGAAACTTTGGTTTGAAAATGTTTCAAGATTCTTCTCCACTGGTAGAGCGCTCTCTTTCTTTCTCTAGTGTCTGTAAATATGTATTATTTTAAGTTTTTTATGAACTACAGATCCTCATTTTTGACCATTCTTCCTTGGCTTATTTTATCCACTCTTTCTGTCTTACATTTTTTTTGTTCTGGATTTTGACAGACCAAGTAGTAGATACGTAAGGGAAGATAAAACAGTCCTGTTTTGTATCTTTGTGAATTTCTGCCTGGTGATTATTGTACAAGTTAAATAATATTATCAGAGCTTTACTTTTTGTTCTTGTGGTTGATCTTCCTTTTTTTTCAGGATGCTTTTCAATCTGTTGTCAATCACTACAATATCATACCATCAGTATGATGTTTACTTTTCTGAATCCACATGGTAAATACTATATTTCTTTTCATGTTTGTAAACATGTTACACAGATAAAAGTTTTACCCCAGAAAAAGCCTAGTATATTTTGTGTTTAAGATTTAGAAAGTATACTTATTATTTTAAATTCAACACTGTGGCCTACCTGGTCATATGACACCCTTTTCTAATTAAAAATAAAAAAACTATTATTATATTTTAGGGTTAGTAATAAAAATACTTGTATATTAAACATATGGTCTACCTGGTTTCAGTGACACTATTTGTATTACCTACCTCATTCGTATGAGGACAGCTTTAGCTTCATGTAAGTTAGTATTAATAAAACTATTATCACAAGCAGGAGTATGGAACAACAAGAAATATCTGAGGGACAAGTTTTACCATTATATTTTGCATATTGGACAAGTATTTATTTATTTTTTTCACTTAGTTCTTTCCATAAAAAAAAGGATAAATTTCCTGGGAGCTGTGCAAGTTCCTGAAAATTCTGAAGTCTAGAACATACACACAAACATTTAACAAAGTCCACTTCAAAACCTCAGTCACACAGAGAGTAACAAACATATTTAAATTGGTGCAAAATTATTGTTATATTATTTATCTTCAGTAGGAATACTGTAAAGTTTGACTACCATCTATAGAAAGAATATGCAACATAATAAAGAAAAAAAAATATATATATATATATAAAGACACACACACATTATATTACATGGCCGCATTATTGAAAACCATGATTTCTTTACAAGTTTGTGCATTGGGTATTCTCCATGCTGCAGTGTAAAATTCTATGACTGAATCTTAAAAACCATAAAATATATGTATGACATGCTTAGGTGGAAAACTCATTATAAACCACATTTGACAAAACTGAGCTGCCAATGACATTGTATTGATGTATTTGTAGTATTTGCTTGTAGATATAAAGCATTTAGTTCAAAAATCAAATAGTTTTGTAAAATTTAAAATTAACTTTCTTAATTTGAAATTAATAATAATGTTAGATTTTTTTACATTTTCATGTAGTAATTTATTTGGATCTTATCTAATAAACAGCCCAATTTTTATTTCATAGCATTTTTTGTGAAAGCTGCAGATAAAAAAATTGATTTCCTCAAAATTATGTTTTGCATCTAAGCTCTTCATAGACATAATTTGGTTATTATCATTAATACTCACAAACATCGTTTATCCATTTTACACTGTAAAAAAACGTAACAGCTTGCAACAGGCATAAAATATAATCTAAAGAATCCATACTTCAGTGTTTAACATCTTATGCAATAAACTTTTTTTAAACATCTTTATTATATTGTCATTTTACTCAATTTAAAAACCACTGCATCTGCATACAGTACATTTGTGCAGTGTCTGCAAAATAATTTATATAATGTAGATATTATGATAAATATTATAAATATATAGAAATTATACAAACAATTTGGTTGTTGGTGCATTTTACTTCAGTTTCTCATTTTGTGAAACCAACAATTATATTTTTTTTTTTTTCTGTTCACAATCAAATAAAGCAGAATCCTAAAATTACCATTCTACTTTTTTTTATTTGTTTATGCTTTTGTAGGACGGGGAAGAAATTTTCCTAGCAATTTGTTCCTCAGAAAAATTTTTTTGTTAAAATTCCACACCCCTGTCACAATTTGCGAGTACAGTGAAAACTGTTGCTAAAATGTATACGTGACAGTATACCTTTGGCGTATTTTTATAGTTGATAATCCTAATTGTATTTGATAAGCAAAAATAAAAGTTTTTGCCCTTTTTTTTTGTCTAATTTATTAAACTTGGGTATTTCAATGAGATACTATTAATTAACTATCTTCTTAACTTTGGACATCATTTTATTCTTTTTTTTTTATCTGTGTAGAAATATTCTTCAATAAACTCCAGTACCACAGAGACTACCCTATTGGTCAACAGACGTCCATTAATTACTCGGAAAGAAGGTTTCCAAGGTGATGATTATAAAACCAGAATCAAACAAATGGTGAGGAATGGTAAAATGATTTTTTTGTAGGAAAATAATGTTGTTGTTTTTTTAATTTTATGAATTATAATTTATAACAGAACAACTATAGTGGGTAACCTTTTGTACTTTGATGTGTGGATATTCCCAGATGGATTATTATGAAAATAGTGATAAAATATTGTATTGAGAAATGCCATAAAACATATTTATGGTTTACTGTTTGGAACAATTATTGCAATTTTTCTCTTGTGAGTATTCAAATGTGGAATAAAGTCAATAATTATATATAAAAAATATGGTAACATTATTGCTAAAGGTTCATATTGTGGGATCAAAGCATAAAGAAATATAAACTTTATGTGGGTTATCATCCGTATTCCATTTTTAATTTGTGCAAGTCTTTAAGTTCTTTATAGAAGCCAATGTCAATGGGAAAATTAAAATAAGATAAAAGCTTTTTTAGGTGACTGATAAGACATCAACTTGACTCTTTCTTTATTATTATGTATAATATTTGAGGAAATCCATAGAACTGGCTGTAAAATCAAGAAATTATAAAAATGTAGCTATAGTACTGCTGTTTATTTATTTTGTTTCTTGTGTTTAGTACTATTTTTTTCTTTTTAAGTTGATGTATCAGGAAGTGATAGAAACAGAGAAATTTTAGTAATTTTTAAGTATGTAGAGTGTAACTAAGTAACAATATTGTCTGACTTGTAGACCTCAAGAACCAATAAAAATTATGAGAAGCTAATATCAGTGTTAGCAAGGATGTTAGAACTGTCTTTAATAAAGCTAAGAATGGATTTATTTAATAAAAATATTTTTAGTACATTTTTTCTGAATTTAGTTAATGAAAATATATTTTTATCCTAAGAAAATGCATTTATAGAAGTTTATGATTCTACAGTATTGTATTAATCTATTCTTTACAGTATTACAAAAGCAAAATGTGCTTTAAAAATACTTATTTTCACCTTTTTTATTGTTTTAATGCAAAGAATAAAAATAATTATTCAGTACTTATTCTACATCTTAAATGGGTGTTATTGGTATTTTTCTTTTACTTATTGTAGGTGCAATCTTCAGAGAGTTCTGAAAACACAGAGGATTTCTTATTGGAATCGAAGAGCAAAAGCAGATATCAAGGTGATGACCAACAAACAAGAATCAGGAAAGCAGTATTGCACACTCCCTCTTGGTTTGCAGAAACTAAGAGCACAGAACAAGAGGAAATTAAAATGTTAGAAACAGAACTATGATACATTCATAGTGTATGAGTTGGTAAAGTATTGGTAAATACCAAACATATATCAAAAGATAAAACTTACTGCTTAGTGTTTTATACAAACAACATATATAAATATATTTTGTTATAAGAGTGAGAAATAATTCAGCCAATATCTTTTGACTTAGATTAGTTTCTGCACTCTCAAGAGCAGTATTTTCATAGTCCTAAAAACAAAGATAGATTTGTAAAGATGATGCTACTCACTGCACATGTATTTACCAGTTTAAGTAATTTTAATGTAGCTTCCAAAGGTTTTCTTTGAGTTATATTATTCTATAACAGTTTATTTCTTTACATCAGTAACAATACACAAATTTTGTGCTCATACGTTACCGAAAAGAGATTAGTTGCCAGTATTCTAGAAAAACAAAAAATAGTTTTGGCTAGCTTGAAAGTTGAAGAGAAAAAAAAGGAAATATTTTTGAGTTATAAAGATATTTAATTGCTTTATATATATATTTCTCATTTCGAGGAAGAGATATATGGTTTAAGATATAATCATAACACTTTTTTTTTGTTTTTAATAAATAAATAAATAGATATGCAGTAAGGAAAGATAACAATGGAATTGTATCAAAGTTGCCTTAAGCAAATGTAAACTTCTGTTCTGTTAGACACTTAAAAGGAATAAGACTGAGACAGTAGTGTGTGAAGAATATATATATATATATATATATAAACACTCAGACACAACTGTTGCATAACACTTGCCATAGTATCAGAAAAATCGACTTCTGGTGGAAGCAGATGTGAAGAGAAGAATTCTTTCTTTCTTTTTTTAAATTAGGTATTATTACTCTGCATAAGTACAGAAAAATGTCTTGACAGTGGTCTGGAAAGAAAACAATACAATAGAAACACTTTTTATAGAAAAATAGAGAGTATTTTTGTTGTACATGTATGTTAAAGTCTAGTTCCAGGATCTTGAAAGGTACACTTTAGTCATTTGGTTTCTGGATATTTCAGCAGTGCATACTTTTGGTTTTCAGATGGACAGATTGAAAGAAGATTGGTAAGAATTAAGATGGTATAACTTATGTTTTCAAAATTGTCAAAAACAAGCAAAGGAAGTAAGTATTTCAATCAGTATTTTGTGTTGAAAGGTTACGGTACACTAATAATGTTTTTAAACAACATATATTATGTAGAATATGTTCAACCATCAAAGGAAATAAGCACTTCAGTCAGTATTTTGTGATGAAAGGTCACAACACACTAATAATATTTTTAAACAATGTGTATTATGTAGAATGTATTAAACCAATACAAGAAATAAGCATTTCAATCAGTATTTTGTAATGAAATATTACAATACACTAATAATATTTTCCAATAAATGCTTCTAGTAATGTTTTTATCTATAAAAGTGCATAAATAGCCTTGTAACCATGCTCTAACAAGATCTATATGAATTTATATTGCAACTATTCTTTGTCTTAAACACACACACTGCTCTAACAAAATCTATGTCAACTTATATTGTTTTATTTTTGTAAATAAATTGTGATGAATTAAAAGGAGTTATTAATATTTGAATCACAATTAGTTTCAAAGATTTATTCTACATTAATACATAGGGTCATAAAACTGAAGAAGTGGCCACTGGTAGTCATTAAATAGAGAAAATCACATTTTACGCAGGCTTGGATCTTTTGCATCCCATCTTATGGAAGCTAAACACCAATTTCATTTGGGCAAAAACCTGCAAAATGCTACATAGCTGTGAAAAAATAAATAGTCTGAAAACCTTAGAAATAAGTAGAATTCTAACAATGAATCCAGACAACGTTCTAAACAAGCAAATCAACTTAAGTTCCTCCCCAATTCTTACTCTACTTCCCTCAGGGTGAATGTCAAAGTTCCTAACTGGATTATTTGATTAAACACACATATATAACTGTATTTAAGTTAGTTCAGTCTGTTCCTGATGATGCCTTTACTGGTGAAACCATGGTAGTAATAAATTAAATATTTGTTAATTTAATGACTATCTTTGTTTTCCTCAATTCTGACAAAAATCACATCTTACAAACTTAATCAACTAAGAGCATACAATAGTTTTTGCATGAATGTTTAATAAAAACATCATTGCAAATTAAAAGAGAAAATATATCTATTTTTTTAACTTCAGAAAAGTAAAAATACTTAAATAGTAAACATTGAGAAAAAACAAGGTACATTTGTTTTCATCTATATTAGGAGCAAAAAGGTGTTAAGTGTAGAGGTGTGTAACAAAATTTATGAAGTGTTCAAAATGGAAAGTGTTAGTTAAGGTGGCAGGGAAAGTTTTATATGATACATCAACAGTGTCAGAGATTGGGGTTACGTAGTAAAGTAGAACAAAAATTTGGTGCAGTGTTTGAGGAAAGAAGCCAGTAGAAGAAGTATCTATAACCAAAGTAATTGTTTTAAACTGTGCTGTTACTCTTTTTATGTTTTTCGATGAATGTTACTTATTTTTAGTGAATTATTTGTGTATTTCTAGGAAATACATTTTATATGTGAATTTTGGGCATTTTAAGGTAAGCTTTTGGAAAAAAAATAATTGAAAATAACATTTTAATGTCTATATTCAGAAATTTTCTTTGGTGTTGATTTTTCCCCAAAAGTTGATAATAACAAAAGGAGTATCAGGTGAATGTGATGAGTGATATGCACATTATATTCTTTTGGCAGAAAATGTTAGAACTTTGTATTGAACACAAGAAGAAAAAAAAACAGGAGAGTACATGTTGGCAGAAAAAGTGACTAATTTATGAATGGGGTTGCTTTTGGTTTTGATATTTCTAACCAGATCTAGAAGATCAGAAAACATTTTATGTATCTGTGCATCTTTCTCGTAACTTTATTTGAGAATGATTATATATTATTATTTCATACCCCCTACCTGCCCCCCCCAAAAAAACCTTTAAAATTGTCAACATCTGTTTGTTTTGAATACATTTATTGAAAGTTTTATTGATTTTTTTATTATGTTGCAAAGTTTCTGTGTTTAGTATGACAGATGGAGGCTCATTTCATTACTATTTTTTATTGGATGTTAGCTGCTGTTTCTTTTGTTTTGCTAATGAAAATGGTTTTGTATACCAATTTTACATTGTACATATTTTTACACTTGTTTTTATGCAAGCAGAAAGCAGTGGTCTTGAATTTTATTGAGAATTGCAGCATTGTATTCATTAATGTAATTCAACTTATTTTTTGAAAAATGATTCTTTTGCTCTGAGTCATTTTTCTGATTAACTTTCTTGAGAAAGTTACAGCAAGTTATTTATTTCAACTGGAATGAAGTTTTTCTTATAAAAAATATGGATTTTGATTATCCTTGGAAAGCATATTGTTATAAAATCCACAGTATGTTTTGAAATATTTCAATGAAAAAGGGCATTGTGGGTTTTTTCTGCTGAGAGCATTTGGAACATGAAGTAACGATTGCTTATGATACAAAAATCATCATACTTTGCATTAGTGAGGTTTCTATTGTTTTAGCAATTTATTATTATACAGCAGGTAAAAATATCCCAGAAATTAATTCTAAGCAGTATTAAATTTACAGTCTCACAGGTATATCCTAGTCATCATGGTAAAATTATATTGTATCAGTCTCTATGTTTGTATGAAAATATAAAATTTTAAATGGCTTAAATAAAATTGATAATAGTTACAATTTACATGCTTAATCTGGCTCTCACAATTACAGTCGTTCTTAAAAATTGACAATATATATAGTGCTTTGACTTGACCACTACTATGTCTGTCATGTCCCATCCAGCTTGATGAGCCATGGTGTTGGGCAAAAGGCCTTATCGATATTGGATATGGCAGGTGTAGCATGGTTGGTGTATTATATCATATTCTTCATTGCTTTTACTCCTGAGTTCTTAGAATTAAATAATAGATTAAAATCAGGTTAAATATTCTTAATATTAATGTTAAAGTGGGGATGTTGTACTTATAAAAAAAGAAAAAAGTAGTCATTGAGAAACTTAGAACAGATTTCTAAAGGATACTTTAGTGATACAGAATATTGGTAAAACAGTTTACTGTGGTCACTGGTTTCATTGAATATTTGATCCAGGGTTAAATAAGCACCTGAAAAAATCTTTTTTTTTTTGTTGATAACTCACCCAATGTCTAGAGCTACAAGCCAGAAAATTTCACACTTTCAACTCACAGTTTTCAATTAATATGTTTCTTGATTGATTTATAGACAAATGTATGTTATTTTGCCTTCTGTGTTGTTATGTGTTACTCTGATTTGATAACCTCAAATCCTGCATAATCACTTTTAAGTTACTACATTAAAACTTAAATACCTTAATATTTGTAATGATTTCAAAATTGTTGTTTGTCTAAGCAAGAAAGATGAGTAAGATTTTGCAAAGATTAGCTTAAAAGGTTGTTCATTTTTCTGTCTCTTACTAGATGAAATTTGTGTCATTTGCATTATTTGTAGTTTGTTCTACATAGCATAATATTAAAGATGTAATGGTAGAAGGCCTGTGACTCTCCATCTAGACAAGTCATTTGAAATTTCTAATGGATTGCTACATTTATTTTATCACTATATTTGCAGAAATAGGTTGGAATATTTTTATGCTAATTGTAATGTCAGAAGTTTAATGAAAACTGTATGCATTATTGCAAATTTATAAATAAACTTTTAAAACACCATGTTTCCCCTTTTATGTGCTTATATCTGTTTCTTTCTTAGCAGGTAATCATTGTTAAGAAAATATCACTTATCAAGTTTCATGAAGTGCCTTTTTGTTGTATCTATAATATCATCCATGAATTGGTGATTTGATATATTAACAAAACATGAACATGGCTGTATGACTGTTAATAATTTACCAAAGTCAGGTAATTAGAGATTCCTAGAGTTAACAAGACATTGATTTTGAATTGCATTTGTTTAGTTCATTTATTCTGTGCTGTCCTCTAAAATGTAGATGTTTAAACATAGAGGTGATAGACTGGAGAACCTAGCTGTTGTGAACAATAGTTGTTTTTTATTCTTTGAATTCTATTTTTTAGATTGCCTGAATAAAATTTTAGTAATTTTCAACAAGTTTCTTTCAAATATTTTTTTGTAATAGAGTTCTCTAAAAATTGTCAGCTGTTTATCTTCAGCCAGTGTACAGTATTTTAGTATAAACAATAATTTTAAAAAGTTTCTCTGCAAAGCTTTTGTCTTGCTTACCAATCTTTTAACTATGTAGATATTGTTTTTCTGCTCTTTTTCCTTCTACTGCAAGTCTGAGTCTTGTCACACTAAAAGTTCATTTCTTCATTATTTATCTGACACTGATTTGAGATTATCCTTCTTTTCTCCAGGACAGATAGATGAAAAGCTATCGTATGTGGCTGAATTGTTAATAGTAATGCTCATTCTTATCCTCTATTGATTGAATGCCTAACTTAGTAACCGTTGCTGTGAAGGTCATAATTGAAGTATTGTGTTATTCTAATGTTTGAATATATTTTATTCTAATCTTAATATTCACTGGTGCTGTTTTCACCCAGTACTTTTGATATAAACTACAGATACATTGGGCAGCTTCCCTTGATATCTACTGGTAATGACAACTCATGCTGTACTCTGTCTGAATGATGATGTACAACAATAATATGACTAAGTGTAAGACTCAACTTTATGAGAAAAAAAAAGAACTTTCATAAACCATATACAAAATTACCCACTTCAAACAAATATTTATGCCATATTTTCCATCACAAAGAAATTGAATTACAAACTGTAAGGACTCTGTTGAATTTATATTTTAACTCTAATCAACATGTTTTGATTTCATTGGATTACTATTACATTGACCCTAGTTAAGAATTTATATATATATTTTTAATGTTGAGAATTTCAGAGAATACACATTTTCTTTATATAAATGTACTTAGTTTTTTTCTGTTCATTCTTTCCTTCCTTTATAAACATATTTATTACACCATCAGGGTTCAAACACATCCTGGAAAACCTGAAAATTTTCAAAATTAATTTCCAGGCCTAGAAAATCATAGAAAATGGAGAAAAGCATAAAAGTCATGAAAAACTGTGACTATTAAATGCATTATCTGATTCAACAACAGTTAAATCATTTCATTGAACAACTAACTAAATTAAAATATGGTTAATTAAATAAAATAAAAATTGAAAAGGTTTGACAATGGGGTAGATATGAGGGGTGATGCAAGACTATAAAGTATTGTTACGTCTCCGTTCGTTAATTAACTTTCCGTAACTTCGTTCCGACGAAACTTTAGCGACACAAATCCTTACTTAATAAAACTGGTTTATTCTTTCTGAATATAACTTCACGATACAC